GTTTATATTAATTATAAATGTTCAGCCAATAGCTCAGGCCTGTTACTAACTAGCTCTTACAACTTAACTCATTTTTATTAATCTATGTGTTGCCATGTGGCTGGGTACCTTTTCCTCAGTACAGCATGTTCATCTTTCTTCTCTCAGCATCTGCTTACGACTCCAGATTCTGCCCTTCCTCTTCCCTGCATTCTCTCTGTATCAGGCTGTCTCACCCAATCTCTTCCTGCCCAGCTATCAGTCAATCAGCTTTTCATTAGCAATGAGAGTGATACATATTTACAGTGTACAAAGATTGTTCCACAGCAAGCCAGTACTGAATCCATCTGTTTTGGGATTCACAAAGGCCTGCTCAGGGTCACAGGGCAGGAGCATCAAAACCTTCTCTGGGACAAGTGAAGGTCATGAAGAACTATATGGGGCTGGAAAGACTGCCATGACCACCGTTGTTGTTGTTGTTGTTGTTGTTTAGCAAATTAGCAACCTCCACAGAGAGTTATTGAAATGCCAGGAGATAACTGGAACTTGAAAAGGCTTTCCATGATGGGTATGATGGATTCCTATCACTCAGGAGGCAAGAGGATGCCAGGCCAGCCTGGGCTACAGAATAAGGCCCTGTCTCAAAAAATAACTAACTAAATAATTTTTTTTAAAAAAAGGACTTGGGACTGGAGAGATGGCTCAGCAGTTAAGAACAATGCTGTTCTTCCAGAGGACTCAGTTTCAATTCCCAGCACCCACATGGCAGCTCACAACTGCTTGTAACTTTACCTCCAGGGGATCTGACACTTTCACACAGACATACATGCAGGCAAAATACCACAGTGCATAAAATAAAAATAAATAAATCATTTTTAAAAATAGGACTGAGATATGGCTCAGTGGGCAGGGTGCTGGTCTAGAGTGAACAAAGCCCTGAGTTTGATTCCCAGCACTGCATGAGCTAGGCATGTTGGTGCATGCCTGTACTCTCAGCACTAGGAGATAGAGGAGGCAGGATCAGAAGTTCAAGGTTATCCTTACCTACATAGCAACTTTGAGGTCATACTGGGCTACGTGAGACCTTGTCTCCAAAAACTAAAAAAGTAACAGATTTCCCAGGGGACAGGGAAATGGCTCAACCAGTAAAATGCCTGGCTTACAAGCACATGGACCTGAATTCGGATTCCCAAAAAGCTTTGTAAAAAGCCAAGCATGGTGACTTGCACTCATAACCCCAGGGCTGGACAGAAGGGATGGCAATGGAGACAGGTAGCTCCCTGAAGTCCATTAGCTGGCCACCACTGGATTCCTGAAGTTTATTGGCCAGGCAACCTAACCCTCTCTAAGGCTCCAGGTTCACTGAGAGACCCTGTCTCAAAATAATATGGTGGAGAGTGATCAACAAAGACACCCAACTGTTAACTTCTGGCCTTTGCACACAGGCACACATACACATTCATAGGTGTACACAGCAATTAAACACATACATTCATACAACAGACACACACACACACTACTTTCCTCTAATTTTGAAAACTTCCCAGCCTCCCACAAAGAAACCCCAGGCCCTACCTGTTCAGCAAAGCCCTACTAAGAGAGGCACAAAGGACAGCTAGCCATCTGCACGGCCACTCAGCAGATCCTGACTGAGTGTGCACTGGGAGAGCTTTCTATAGATGACCCAGAGACCCTGTCCTTAGTGGGCTTGGGGGAGGGGAGATTTTAATAATGAAAGAAAGCAGGGCGGGGGAATACCAAAGTGTCCGAAGCAAAGTCCTAGTGGTGCTTAAAAGTGAGGCCATGTTCATCTGGGAGGGGGTCAGAGCTGATTTCCTGGCAGTGGCACCCATGCCGCTCCCCCCTGTTCATCCAGCAGTGCCAGTCATTCATTCATTAAACAGGTGCCATGTTCTAGGCACTAGGGACGTGGCAGGGAATACAGATAGCCCCCCACCTTCATGGAACTTACTCTGCAAGGCACAGCCAAATAATAGACCCATTTATAAAACACCAAATACATCATATTTACTTAGTGAACTAAGCCCTGTGTGGGGCGTTTACCCACCACCCCCACAGTTCCCCAGAGTTTTCTTGAGTGTGAGCAGCAGGAAATATTATATAGAAAGATTTATTGTGGAGAATCTTGCGGAGATAAACAGATAGAAAATAAAGAGGGCCTGGAACCTTTTCCAATGGGCCCCAACTGTCTCTGCCCCAGGGTTTTTATAGAGATGCCAAGAGGTGGAGCAAAAGACCTCCTCCCCCAGCACAGCCAAGTGCAGACCATCTCAGACACCTGCACTCAGGCCCGTGGTCCTAATGATCCTCTATGCGGACCTGCTGGGTAAAGTCAAGAGGAACCCGAAAACGGGCTCCCACAGCCCTAGAAAGAAGATGAAAATAAAACCTATAGAGGAGACAGTGGTCATCAGAAAGGCATGCCCGGGATAGCCAGGCTTGGGTAGAGCTGTCTGAGGGAAGCCCTGCTGGCCCTGGGCTTGGCTGGCACATATCCGCCCTCTCTTCCCTTCTATCTCACTTTTACAATGAAAATGTCTGCCTGTGTCTGTCCCTTCACTGTGTTTCGGAAGCTTATGACTGAGCTCACAGCTCTGGGACATTTGACCCAAGGTGTCCAAATTGGGTGACACCTTGGATTTTAGACTTTTTTTTTTTTGGTGTTTTAAAATAATCGTGTGTGTGTGTGTGTGTGTGTGTGTGTGTGTGTGTGTGTGTGTGTGTGTGTGTGTGCACGCATTCCTGTGTGAATGCAAGCAAGCATAGCACACTTGAGGAGGTCAGACGACAATTCTGGGTGTATGTACTCATTTTCCACCTTGTTTAGACAGGGTTTCTTGTTCACTACTGCAGACACCAGGCTAGCTTCTGGGAGAAATTCCCTGTCTCCACCTCCCATTTCATTGTAGGAGTGCCTGGGTATTCTATCTCAGCCAGCTTTACATATGTTTTGGGGGATCTGAGCTCAAGTCCTCACACTTGAGCAGCACATGCTCACTGGGCCATCTCCTCAGTCAATGATTTCTTTTGTGATTTTCTTTGTGGAATTGAGAGTTGAACCTAGGGCTGAGCCACGCCTGCTACCAGTGAGCCACAGCCCCCTTTTTTGAGACAGTATTTTGCTATGTAGCTTGGCTAGCCTGGAGTTCACTATGTAGACAAGGTTGGTCCCACACTGGTGGCAATCCTCCTGCTTCAGCCTTCCGACATGTAATTTCTAGAGCTCACAGGCTGGAATTGTAGGTGTGCTCCACCGGAGATACCCGGCTCAGGTTTTAAACTATTGAGTTGGAACTGGAAAGGGATTTCAGAGATTAGCATTCTGCATGATGGTAATGGAGCCATGGACGGATGCAGGGGTGAGGAAGGGCAGGCCCCTGGAGTGGGTGAGGCTCCAGCTCTGCATCTTATAACCTTAGCGGTGACATTGGCAGAACCTGGCATAGACCTGGGCACCAAAGCCTCTGCAGAAGTGGCCAGCAGGCCAGTTCATAACACTCTCAAAGCAGAGGTGACTCTGCACGGATGAGCCAAAGACAGTTACCACTCTCTCAGGGACCTCAAAGACTCCTACCTGCCCCCAGCATCCATCCCCCAGGGATGGGAGCCACAGAGGGCTGTATGAGAAATGAAATACCAAGACAGTCCTATACGTAAAGCTCAGGAAAGACACTGCCTGCTGCTGAAACCCTTCTTCAGAGCCCACCCAAGGGACATCTCTCAGCCCAGCTGGAGCATGTGTTCTGTCCCGGGCACCATGGTGAGGGCTGGAGACACAGGGGATGTCACCAGACTCCCATCTGGAAAACAGAGGTCAGCTCAACAGTCAGAGTGGGTCTCCAAGCAGGCACTCCCTCAGAACCCCGTTACCTTGAAAAACACAATTTAAAAATAGCTCCCGAGCCACTGATTCCTTGGTCCACACGGAGCAGATCCCTCCCATCAGTTTTCCAGCCTTGCCTTTCATATTCTTGCCCAGCCTCTGCACACACTGGAGCAGACTCTGTCCAAAGGGACTTCCCTGCAGCAAGTCAGGTGCTCCTGCACCCTTGCTGAAAGCATGAAAGCATGAACAGAGGACAGTTTTCTGGGTTTTTTTAATATCCTTACTTGGCAAAATTAAAGGCTGACAATTATGAATAGAATAGTTCTTTCTCTTTTTCCTTTCTTTTTTTTAAAGTGTTTTATTAAGTCTGGGGATATTTTAATAGATAGACTGGCAACACATCTTCTCTAAGGAGGGAGGCTGGATGAGTGAGTGGGTGGTTGTGGGGCTGACGGCTGGGTGGGTGGCTGGCTAAGAAGGATGGATGATTGAATACATGGGTACAGTCTGGGGAAGCAAACCCAAGGCGCTTTGTGCGCTGTTCAACAGGAAATCACCACTACTGGCTTCACTGGGGAAATACAGCTGGGAGTAGGGTCACTCTACCCAAGTTTGGAGCAGCAATGTTACCAGCTCCTCCCACTGTTAAGCTCTCTCTCAGAAGGCTCAAACCCATGCCCAGTGGCATGAAACTGTCTTAGAGGGTTTAAGGACTTTAGTTTGGAACTGGGGCTGTAGCCCAGTAGCATACTTTCCTAGACGTGCAAGGCCCTTGGATCAAAACCCAATATCACGAAAGCAAGTAAGTAGATGATTGGTCTGGCTTCCTGATGTCTCTACGTAAGAGACAGCGTTTGAAGGCAGAGCTGATTTGTCCACATCCCGTCCCCTGCTCTCTGGGCCACTTTGTTAATCCTGGAACACCTAAGACTGACAGCTCTTTCTACAAGAACCTGTCCCCCACCTCCACTCCCACCTTCCCTGCCAGGCACCACGACCGCCCCCTGGCGGCCAGGGGCAGGTGCACCCTCTCGGGACCGCCCGAGGGCGAATGCGCGTGCGCACAGGTGAGCTGCCGCCGCCCCGTCCTTAAGCCTGGCCACCTGCCGGGGACACTTGTGGTTGGTTGTTGCCCTCGGGTCGTTTCCGGGCGGGCGGGGACAGGAATCCGGCCATGGGAGATACTGTGGGGACTCGCGAGCCCCGGACCCGTCCGAGAGAGCGAGACCCAGAGCGGCGCCCGCACCCGGACCGAGACCGCCACGTCGAGCGGCCCCGGGACCGAGCCGGGGACAGGCATCGGGAGAGGAACGGTGACGGGAGAGGAAACGGGGACCGTCGGGCGGGCAGGGAACGGAGGACGGACCGAGACCCGCGCCAGGACAGACACCGGGACGCGGGCCATCGTGCTGCTGAACAGAGAGCCTGGGAGAAGCCCCGCCAAAGCCGTGCGCGGCCCGAGCCCTGGGTACCCAGTTGGGACACAGCCCCGATCCCCGGGCCCGCGCCCTGGGGGGCCCCGGAGCCGCCGCCGAAGCAGGGCCTCGGGCGCCGCGGTTTGGACAGGTGAGGGGTGCACCTGCTGGGGACCCGGGCCGTGCCTCGTCGGCTACCGATCCTAGCCGGCGCTCGGAGGTGACACTACGACGTCCCCAACTCTTTGTTTGAACTTGATTACCAAAGGAGAAATGGAAGGCCCTGGAACCAGGGGAAAGAAAGAGTTTCAGGACCGAAACCGGAACAGTTTAGAAGGCTAGGTGGGTGGGGCTAGCTGGAGGCTCCACTCAAGTGGCCACATGACTATGCTAAGACTACAGACCCTTCTTCCTTGATCGCAAGTTAGCCCTCCTTACCTCTCAAAGTCCAGTTTCCAGGGGGTCGGGGGCTGAATAAAGTTAGCCCAACGAAGAGTTAATAGTTGGACTTGCCCCTCCTGCCAAGACCATATGCACAGCAGACGGCTGGCAGAAGCCGCACTTTTAAACAAGAAACCAAGGCCACCTGAAGTTCTCGAGTGGGTTTGTTAACCCCTTGGTCAGTGAGGCCTTTCTAAGCAGCTTCTTTTAAATCGTGTGCTTGTTTGAACCCCAACCTCCTGAAGGAACGAACTTCACCTGTAGGACCCGGAATTCCCCTAAGCACCTGTGTCCTGGAAGGTTTGTGAATGGAGATAGAAAGGAGGCCTGGTCGCCACACCCCCTCCTAGAGAGTTAGCATGCCATCCAATTCCACAGCTGTTAGCCAATGTGCAGACTATGAACCGGGCTCTTCAGCGTGAGCAAATGAAATAAAAGAGATGTTGCCCCTGATGGCCAACACAAAGAAAATGGTCCTTGGGTGAGACTGACGTTTTCGTGTGTGTGTGTGTGTGTGTGTGTGTGTGTGTGTGTGTGTGTGTGTGTGTGTGTGTGTGTGTATGTATCTAAGCAATCCCAATCAAGGCATGGTCTTGCCCATTATCATTTCAGCTCCAGTCCAAACTAAAGACCACTCTTGCTAAGTGGTCTGAGCAGTGGTCAGAACTGTGGGCATCTTTTTCCCTGGAGACAACCCTTCTAGCTGATACCAGGTTCTGGACTGATACCTGGCCTCTGCTGTTAGCCATGGAGGCTGCGTCCACACATGGAGGCTGCTATCACGAGTTTATGTTACACTATCTAAAACCAACTAGCATTACAAAAGCTGCGCCCAGATTCGGTCTGCTCTTTCAATCTTTGACACCTACTGTTGTTTCCCTGACTGCTCCCGTCTCGAACTGCAACCACGTTGTATGTTTGCAGGTTTCCTTATAAACCGGAGCCCTGGTTACCCCACCTCACCCCAAAGTGAAGGAAAGAAATGCATTTGCCTGTTGCTTATTTAGAGGTCTGGGGCCAAAAGGGAACTTCTCTCTGTCCTCTTAAGCATTTACTGGAAGGAGGGGATGCAGGGGCCAGCGTGTGGTAATTTACTGTCAGGGTTCAGAGGCAGGAAGATGGCAATGAAAACAGCCAACCGCAGCCCAGTGTGAAATCAGTCCCAACAGGAAAAACTGGGCTTTGGAAAGAATAAAGCTGGTCTCCCGTCTAAGCTCAGACAGGATCCCAAGGAAGGTGACCTAGAGCTGAGTTCTGTGGAAGGAAGATAAAAGGTGTTTCAAGCAGAAAAACAGCTTCCTCAGTGACCCAGAGGCCTGGGTCATCTTTAGGGGTGGAGGGCTGCTCACTGCTGCTGGCTCGGTGAGCCTCGCTTGTGAGTGTGCACAGTGCCAGAGCCTCCTGGCCTTTGATGAAAAGTTTAAGGATTTCAAACCAAAGGAAGATGGGACGACATCTGTGTCCTAGAAAATTCTCGTGAATTCAAGTACAATGCAGCCTCCTGTTGAATCTTGGGCAGAGCCCAGCATATGCTAGACAAATGGAAAAAGAAGGTGCCAGGGTGGCCAAGGAAGAAATAACAGAAAGATCCCAAAAGTAGCCTGGCTGGGTGTAATGGTGCATGATTATAATCCCAGCACTTAGAAGGTGGAGGCAAGAGGATCAGGGGTTCAAGGCCGTGATTTGAGTTGAGAGTTCTAATACCAGTGGGCGTGGTAGCACATGTCTGTGACCTAGCACTTGGGAGGCTGAGGCAGGAGGATCACATGTTTAAGGCAAGCCCAGGCTGCATACTGAGGAATGTATTTTTAAGCAAACATAAATGAAGTCTTACTAGTAAACAAGTCATTGAGTTGCCACCCTGTCCCTAATGTCTGTGTGCTCCTTGGGTGCAGTGAACTCGCTTCGGAAAGATACATGTCCGTGCACTCCCAGCCTGCACAACGGGAAGAGGAATACTACCAGTCTGAAGCTGAGGGGCTCCTGGACTGCCACAAATGCAGATACTTGTGCTCAGGGAGAGGTGAGCCTTGGGAACCCCGTCTGACCATTTATATTGCAAATGGCTTGAGGAGAGGCAAGGTAGGGGTTGGAGGGGTATGAGTTGGTGAATTGAAAGCTCGTCCGGTTTGCCCCTTGGGTTCCTAGCATTCTATTCTCATTTCTGTGTTTGCATGGGGTTCTTGCTTAAAAAAAAAAAAAAAGACAGGAAGGTGTAGCTAGAGTTTTCCTGCCTGGCCCACAGTCAGGACAAATCTCTCTCACCTGCCAGTCCCACAGCCGCTCAAACCCGACCAAGTAAACTTATATTGGTTACAAACTGTATGGCCATGACAGGCTTCTTGCTAACTGTTCTTACAGCTTAAATTAATCCATTTCCATTAGTCTATACCTTGCCACGTGGCTCGTGGCTTACCGGCATCTTCACATGCTGTTTGTCATCGTGGTAGCTGGCAGTGTCTCTCTGACTCAGCCTTCCACTTCCCAGCTTTATTCTCCTCCTTGTCCCGCCTATACTTCCTGCCTAGCCAATGGCCAATCAGTGATTTATTTATTGACCAATCAGCAACACTTTTGCCATACAGAACATCCCACAGCAGGAAGGTCTGAACAGTGCAGTGAGGCTCCTCAAGCTTATCCAATGTGCCTGGCTCTGAGCATGGGTCAACCACGCTTCCACCTCTCAGCCCCCGGGGGGAACGTGGTACGTTCAGTGTGCCTGCCGTGAGATGCTTGTGGTGGACAGTGGCTCCTCTGGTACATCAAGCTCCACAGAGGGGACATCACACCAGCAGATAACCAATTTGCTCCTCCTTAGAGACCTGGTGCCAAGCAGTCAGTCACTGGCTTTCCCTCTTCCTTGACTGCGATGCACAGTAAGAATAGACTTTAAGACCAAATGTACAGCCTAGCTTGGTGACTTAACCTGTCTGTAACCTCAGCCCTTGCTGTGAGTTCGTGACCAGCTTGGGTGACATAACAAGACCCTGTCTCAAATAACAAACAGACGAAATCATATCCGTGCATGGAGGAAAACAAAGATATCATAAAAACTTTTTAACCCTTCCGCCCACCAAGGGCATTCATATTTTTGCTTTCACGAAAAACCAAAGCCAGCCACCAGCATGCTGGCTCAGGGATAGAGGTGCTTGCTGCCAAGCCTGATGACTCCAGTTCAATCCTTAGGACATACTTGGTGAAAGGAGAGAACCAGCTCCCCCAGGCTGTCCTCTGACTTCCATGCACATGGCACATACACACACACACACATAAAGTTAAAAAATAAAAGTCTGGCATGGTGGCATGTGGTCAGTGGGTATAAGAGGATCAGGAGTTCAGAGACCAGCCTGAGTTATGGGAGATTCTGTCTCAACTTAAACAACAAACAAAACCTTACTAATATTTCTCAGCAGCCAGCCAGCAGCCTGGCCTCCCAGGTCCTGGCCTTGCCAGCGAGGAAGACAATCTGGTTTGTCAGGGTGAACCCGATGGTGCAGGGGACTTGTGGTTAGTCTACTGAGGCTGCCCATGACCAAGTGTGGAAACATCGCAGCCTACGGGGGGGAAATCATGGAGTCCACAGCTGAAGGTGTGCCGTAGGTGACGGCAAAGCAGTAGCCATTATAGGATTAGGAAGAACTTTGATGAAAGGCCTCTAAGCCATCTGGCTACAAGGATCTCATCTGGTTTACGTATGCTGCTGCCAGTGATGTCTTTAATCCTCTTAACTCCTGAGGCTCAGAGAGGCACAACAGATTACCCAGGTCACACAGCCATTAGGTGAAGGTACTGGAATTGGACCTTGGAACTCCAGCCTAAGGCCTTGTGGAAGGTCCTCTTGTGCTGTAAATAACAGGAACAAACCTGAGTCTAAGAAGTTTCTTTTTTTTTTTTTTCTTTCTGTGATTGATTTGCCAAGAGGAAAGGGAAGGGCCTGGGCTTCTGACCAAAACACACCTAGATTTTGATTTAATTGCTTCTGGCGATTTGGCTTTGAGCCTGGAACTTGGGTATGGAAACCCTGGTTTGGAAAGCTTGAAGATGGTTCAGCTCTCAGAAACTAACAGATAGGAGCTGAAGAATGCTGATGTTCGGAGCTCCCACGCAGGTACACAGCAGGGCACTGTGTGGAGAGACAGCCCTCTGCAGCAGGACTGGCTAGAGCAGGAAAGACAAGCCTGGATGTAGGTTAGCTGAAGGCCTTTAAGTCCACGGTAGAGTGGATCCTTTGTGGCCTTCTCTTTGTCGGTGAATCATGTCATTCCACTCCCCACCCCTCCCAGCAAACAAGGCACCCGGTGGCCCTCTGGGGACACTCAGGAGTCTGGTCTGTGATTCACTCCTAGAAAGTTCAGTCAAACACTCAAACCAACAGAAAGAGATGAGTCCCAACTTCACTCTTGCAAGAAAGAAATCTCGAAGGCCGGGCGGTGGTGGCGCATGCCTTTAATCCCAGCACTCGGGAGGCAGAGCCAGGTGGATCTCTGTGAGTTCGAGGCCAGCCTGGGCTACCAAGTGAGTCCCAGGAAAGGTGCAAAGCTACACAGAGAAACCCTGTCTCGAAAAACCAAAAAAAAAAAAAAAAAAAAAAAAAAAAAGAAATCTCCAATAGAAGCATTTTTAGGGACTGGAAATAAAGATCAGACTGAAAGCAGGTCAATGCTTGCGCACATGAGGCTTCCCTTGACCCCGTCCTGCCCACCCCCCCACCCCCCACTCCCCCACCCCCCAACCCTGTCTTCTATAGGTGTAGATTCTGTTCACTGACTGTTTGGAGGGACAGGTGTAGAGCTAATTTGGTGGTTCAAAGATGTAAGTCTTAGCTCATTTGCATTTGGAACACTTCTTCCTCCCTGCCCATCTTGTCGTGTGTGGTCCCTTCCAGTCCCGTCCCATCCCCCACCTCCCCCACCCCCCTCAACCCCCCACCCTCCCCTACCCCCGCCTTAGAAGCTTAGTCCTTCTTTGAAAGTCTGATTTTTCAGTGAGGCTGGAGGCACAGCAGCAGTCCCAGCTACCTAGGAGGCTGAGGTGAGAGGATCAGTTGAGTCTATAATTTAGATCAACCAAATCTAAAACAAAACAGACAAGCCGGGCTTGGTGGGACACACTTGAAATTCTTGCACTTAGGAGGCTGAAGTGGGAGGAGCTTCAGGGGAGCCTACACTACGTAGGAAGATGCTTTCTCAAAAAAAATTAAATAAAATACATTTTTTCATTTTTCTCCCAATTAATACACTTGTTCTCTCCCCCTCTCCCTCCCCTACCCCATGAGTGTGTGCGTGTGTGCGTGCAAGTAGAGACCAGAGGACAACTCCAACATCATTCCTCAATTGCTGTCCACCTTGTGTTTTGAGTCAGGGTCTCTCACTGGCCTGAGACATGCAAATAGGTTAGGCTGACTGACGTGTGAGCCCCTGGGATCTCATCTCCACCTTCATAGCGCTGATGTGACAAAGGCAGGATACTACACACTCATGCATGTGCAGCAAGTATTACCTATGGAGGGTCTCTCCAGCCCCTAGAGTTGGGACTTGCGGTCAGGAGTGCTGCTCTTTGGCTCTGAACCTTCTGGTGCGGCTGTTGAGAGTATTGGGGGTGGGGTGGGGGGGGTGGGGGGGGGGTGGGGGGTGTTTGCATTTCAAAGGGACGCTTTCCTAAAAGGAAGTTGATCTTGTCTCAGGACGCATGTATCTGTGTTACATAGCTTTGTATACATGCATGCACACAGCAGGAAATGTTGCTGTAATAAAAAATATATGTCTAAGCAAAACAACTTCCGAGATCAAGGGTCACGGTCTCAGAGGTCTCGGTCCATCAAGACAGGGAGAGAGGCCAGGAAGCAGAGGCAGGAGGAGGGGATAGGGAGGAATGGACTTCCCCATCTTGGTCCCATCAGAACCTCTAGCCTTTTGGTTGGTACTGCCCACGTTAAGGGAGGGTCTTCTGTTTTTAATCTCTCTGGAAACCCCACAGACACAATCAGAAGCTCGATTTACTAACCTCCCAGGTTCTTGTCAGTTCAACCCTAACCCTAACCCTGACAAGTTGACAGTCACCATCTACCATCATACCATCCCAGCCAAGAGGGCTAGGACCGGGACCATGCTGCCAGTGCATTAGCTTGTGATCCCCTGAAAAGGATCATGGAAGAAACTCATGTGTGGCCTTTTTCTAATTTATATTTTCAGTCCCTCCTTTTCATTAATTAATGCCCTACTATAGTTCCGGTCTGTACTGAGATTGTGTCAGGACTTCAAAGTGCAGCTGATTTGAAGGGGACTAACTTGCAAGGGGGTCTGGAGACTTGCCTTGAGCCAGAGGTTGAACTGCTGATCTTGGACTCCAGTGTCAGGGAAGGCCCACACAGGCCTGGGAGCCTCGGGCCTTTGTTTTAAGGATGCCACTCGGTCTGCACAGCCCTGCTCATCCTTTTGTGGACCCACTAAGCCTAACAGAGGAGGCAGGAACTCCAGGAGGGCTCCAGCCCTTCCATTGTCCCATTAGGAAATTCTCTCTGGCAGGAAGTGAAGTATATGTGAGGCCCTGGGTTCCCATCCCTAGTACCACAAAAAAAATTTTGTCATCTAGCAATGCACTGGAGAAACCTAAATGTCCCTTTGTCCCACTGAAGTGGTTAAATTCATTATGATGCCGGGAATGATGGCACACCTGCAATGCCAGCACTTGAGAAGCTGAGGCAGAAGGGTCAAGAGTTCCAGGCTAGCCTGTGCTACATGGTAAAACTGCTTCAAAATAATTTAAACCATTATAGCAATCTGCACATCTTTTAAAGTCCCGGGGCAGGGCTGGAGAGACAGCTCAGAGGTTAACAGCACTTGCTGCTCTCCAGTGAGGACCAGTGCTTGGATGCACACCACATCTGGCTGCTCACAACTGTCTGTAACTAAGCTCCAGGATAGCTGATACCTTCTTCTGGCTTTTTTGGGCACCTGCACACACATGCACATATACTCACACATGTAAATAATAAAAATTAAAGATAAATCTATAACGTAGATT